TTCAAGACAATACACAACTCGGTTCTGTCACATTTGATCGATAGCGGTTATGTAGTAGATAAAAATAAGTCATTTATGAAATACTAGTCAATCTTAACTATTTCGTTAAATATGTTTCTCCCTTTTGTTCCTTAAGTTGTTTCTAACTAAACTTCATTCATTATGGTATATAATGTAGTCTTTTATAATAACAATGTTCTATTGTATATTTAGCGTATTTTTAGTAAGTTTGTTTTCTACGAGTTAGGGTTACTGACCCCATGACCAACCCTTCTCCTTTACCCAAGCTTGGGACTATCAGTCACTATAGAAGAGATACAGTCAGAAAATTAGAAGAAGACATCATATAGATGATTAGCAACTGGAAACAACTTGAAAAGGATTGCTCAAAACAGAGTTCAATGGAGAATACTGTTAGATGGCCTATACTCCTCCACCAAGGGTAACAAGTGTAAATAAGTAAGTACGTAAGTAAATTGTAAATTTAGTCGGCTTGCAGCTGATAAGAAGCCTTTATAATAGTAAACACCTATTCTCACATAAAATACATTTTACAAAAAACAAATCATTGTCTCCTTATTATTGATTCTTAACGTTAACATGTCAATAATGTACTACTTTTTTTGTTACGCGCATAAATTAAAATCCATACAATAACTTGTTCAATAAAATGATTCACCATGTTTAGTTTAATTGATCAATAAACTATGTAAGATCAGAGTATGATAAATTGCGGGAGGGGGTAGTTTATGAAATACATATGTAACAGTATCAAGAATCATTACAACATATGATGTTACTAACATGAGTCTGTTTTTCTTATTTCAGGGTAGCAAAGAGTAAATTTACTGGAAGAATAGAAATAAGCCCTATGTAAGCTGAATCTGTGGTAGTTTCTTCTTCCTTCAGTAGATCCTGTAAGGCTTGGAACCTGTTGTTGAGAGCTATCTAGAATCCTTTGAGTTTGTCAGTATCTCGAAGGAAGGCTGTATTGAACTTTTGTAGTGCTGTTTATACAGTTGTCCAGTTTTTCTTTAGCTTCAGTCTTAAATTGGCCACAACCAGGTGGTGATCTGAAGCTATGTCAGCTCCTCTCCTGGTTCTTCCATTGTCCTTCGGAACTTTTTGTTGATGCAAATATGATCTATCTGGTTCTCTGTGATGTGGTCCGGTGAGATCCATGTAGCTTTGTGGATACGTTTGTGTGGAAATATTGTGCCGCCTGTGACCAATTTGTTGAATGCACACAGATTTACAAATCTTTCCCCATTTTTGTTACTCACTCCCAGTCCATGCAGTCCAATGATATCCTCATATCCAGTGTTGTCCATTCCGACTTTGGCGTTTGGATCTCCCATCAGAATGGTAAGGTCCTTTCTTGGGCACTTCTCTATGATTGATTGCAGCCTCTCTCTCGTCGTTTCTATCAATGGTGGGTGCGTAACACTGGATAATACTCATTGTGATCGCCTCCTTCTTTGTTTTGAATAATGCTTTGATGATTCTGGATCCGTGAGATTCCCATCTTACAAGTGCGTTTCGTGCTACTTTGGACAGCATTAGAGCAACTCCCTGAGTGTGTGGAGCATTTTTCTCTTCGTGACCGGAGTATAGCAGCATCTCTCCCGTATTCAGCCTTTGTTGTCTATCTTGAGTCCAATGGGTTTCGCTGATTCCGAGTACTACCAATTTGTATCTCCTCATTTCCGCTGCTATTTGACTGATCTTCCCGGTCTCCCACATTGTCCGGACGTTCCATGTACCTATAAAAATTGTTGCTCTGGTTGTTAGAAGGGGCATCGGCCTCGTGGCTTCTGAAGGAACTTGGCGTTGACCCTGAGGCGTCATATTTCTTCTAAATGAAGACCTTTTAACTCCCAGGGCAGAGTTTAAATGGTGTGAGTTACTTTTTGTGATTAGCGTTTTTTAAGCGAGTTAGTTTTCTACGGGATGGGGACGCTAACCCCATGCCCAACCCTCCTCCTTCACCCGGGCTTGGAACCGACAGTAGCTCTAGAAGAGCTACAGGCGGAGTTGAATCTGCAGAACGATGTATAAAACTATTTTGTAATACGTCTTCCCTTTTTGTACATGAACCATGTCTTTCAATTTTGAGAAAAAAATATATCTGTTGTACTAGTATGCTACGTTCTTACTTCAGAGGTATTTACCGGTCTTAATTGTTGTGTTGTTGTTTCAGATCGTTCCTACTTCCAAATAGACGCTAATCATACGTGCTACACATATTTATCAATAATTGTTTAATAGGCAAAGATTGGTGGTGGCTAGCTATGGAATCTAGGATATGAGTTTCGTCCTATTTGGGACTCATCAGTTAAATGTATTTACATCTCAAAGATTGATAAATTACGGTAGTTGTAGAAATATGTTGTAGGTCACAAGTATTGTTTCATTTTAGACAATTAATTTACAATATTGGATGGATACTATTAAGTGGTGTTTATGACATTTAAGGAGGAACATATGCGAATATATTATAGGCAATAACGAACACTAAAATGTCTTATAAAAATGAATGTGTAAAGAAATTTGTACAGCCAGTCATATGTCACTGGGTCCTTGCGAAATCATCTAGTAGTCAGGTCACTTAATGTCGAACAGTTCGCCGATCCCCGTCAAGGTCAAGGATAATCAGTGCGGATCAGTTAATTACATACCATGGAGTGGTCAATGCATTGGTGATCCCATTCTTTTTCTTGTACTTACTCTTACTAATATCTTCTATAATAACGTCACTTATGTTGTACGGTCATCAAAGCAGCTATATTACCTGTATACAACGAAAGGTAATCCACATTAAGTACTGACTACAAGGTGTAACTTTGACGTTAGCTGGTTGGTCATACCATTCCTGTCTAATTCGAGTAGGTACACAATCATTCGACACAGAATACTTACGTTAGTGATCTACAAATTTATCATGAAGTACGGAAATATTATGATAGATAGTCTCAAATGAACGATTACTAACAAAATGCATCCTTTCATCCATCTTGCATTCAAAGATGAGGAGATATCTGGTAGGTTTTATGAAAAGTTTAAAGCTGTGATAAACAGAAGATTCTCTGCAGCTAAATTATTTTTGGTGTATAACTCTAGACTGTGAAGCTGGGCAAGACGGGGTCGGATCCATCAGGGAGTGTCATTTCCATCAAGATTACAGGTACACCTTGTTGACAAGTCCCAAGTAGCACGAAACCTAGGTCCAGGGTTTCCTGTTGACTACATCCAACCATCATCTTATCTCAACATAGTGCACGCAATGTTGATTCACGTAGACCAGTGGTCACATTGCGACTTGGTCGATAATATTTGATCTGCACTAAGAAAAACCTGACATACATGACATTGATCACCACCCAGTGATCAATCAATTGTAAACTAGATATTACTTAAATCAATTAGAAATGGATAAATGTCCTTCTAAGGTTGCCTCCAAATGCATTTTTATGAATTTATTGTATTTTATGATATGAAATAAAAAATGAAACTGACGTTTTGTCACGACGTTTACTTTGTTTTTAAATTCACTAGATACATTATTCATCACTTGATTTGTGCTCGAGTTATGTAAGGGATAGAATACTTCCCTGGTGCCCAAATGGAAGTTAGTGGATTATTTAGGGAGCCACAGACGGAGCCTTTGACCTAAATGTTTGATCCACAAGGTAGTGGAGCAACGTCAGGAGATGAAGTCTCATGGTAGCCGGTGACCAATAATCGGTTCATACACCATTTTTCCTCTCAGGATCCTGAAGCACATGTGCACAGTTGGTTTGGATTCAGGGTTTTCCAACTCCACCAGGTGGTTTCTCGATGTCCACCAACCCGGTTAATGCGTCGGACATTTGCTTTTCGTCGTCTCAAGCTCGTAAACAACACCCGTTGTGCGAGAAGGCAGTGATTATGAATTCGCTGATAGTGGTTGTATACACGTGGCCATGTGAGTGCATTTCGACAGGAAGAACTGACTCTATACACCCTCTATCGTACCACAGCATTCCGGGGCATAATTTTACTCAACTGAACTTCTTAAAACCCGTTTACGTTTAAACATTAGTGTTGAGAATCAAACAATCATTTCAATTGGTAATAGACATTAATAATTGTTCATTGTGAAATTGATTATAGTTAAAGATAAGAATATTAGAATTCCTGAGCATTGATCTACAAGTGATATGTGTACATTCTGGGTTCGATCATCGGTATTTTTGGTTGTTGGGTGCACACTGTTGAAATTTCAAATCTGAAGGCAAAACAGATGACTGTATCGTTCTTGTTTTTAATGATTATTTGACTAATTCTAGCCCATAATATACTTGCATAATATCACTTTATACATAAATATGAATCGATTTTCTAAATATACATAAACTCATTAAAGATATTTCTATTCAATATTGAATGTTCAATGTTATTTAATGTTTTTTATTGAGACCTATGAACTGAATGATGTTGGAAGACCATGGTAAACCTATAAGCACTGGACTGCTGTTTCGTCTTATTGTGGGACTCTTCAGAAGTGCTCATTCACAATCCCAACTCATGGAATTCGAACCCAAAGCCTTCAATATTGCATTGAAATGTATTGAAATCATAAGTCTATCTAAACTCAACTACCTCTGAAAACCTAGATTCTCATATGTTCCTCTTAAATGATGTGTACCCAAGACCCCACAAACAGGAATCAAACTCAAAACCTTCGATCTCATATGCGGACACCACCTGAAACGAAATAACCATCTAGTGCTTCCAAATTTTCATTGTTGATCTTACTTAGATCAATCCATGATTCTAATGAAATTCAATAATTTTTATGATATTTATTTAGTTCAACCAATAAATTACTTTCAAGAAAAAATAACAAATCATTATACCTTAGAAATGTTTATATAAGCCTAAGTAAATAAACTCATCTATTTCAATATTATAATCATTCTAAAATAGATGAATCTTTCTTCATACCATCTTATACAGTAATGATCCGTGATCATTTAATAATCTATCCCATAGTTACTATATGGATACTAACTGTACATTATGTGAATTGTGGTAAGTCTAACTGCATTATAGAATCTTTCGTATTCTCTTACCTATATTACTCAATATATATATATATATATATATATATATATATATATAGATAGATAGATAGATAGATAGATGTGTAGATAGATAGATAGATAGATAGATAGATAGATAGATAGATAGATAGATAGATAGATAGATAGATAGATAGATGTGTAGATAGATAGATAGATAGATAGATAGATAGATAGATAGATAGATAGATAGATAGATAGATAGATAGATGTGTAGATAGATAGATAGATAGATAGATAGATAGATAGATAGATAGATAGATAGATAGATAGATAGATAGATAGATAGATAGATAGATAGATAGATAGATAGATGTGTAGATAGATAGATAGATAGATAGATAGATAGATAGATAGATAGATAGATAGATAGATAGATAGATAGATGTGTAGATAGATAGATAGATAGATAGATAGATAGATAGATAGATAGATAGATAGATAGATAGATAGATAGATAGATAGATAGATAGATAGATATTATCTGTTTAATTGATCTGACAAGAAGATGATCAAGTATAAGAAGTAACTTTCAATAAAGAAGATATATCATTCATATATTGGTATATAGATCAAATTGGTTAGGATAAATGTAAATTAAAAGAAAGACAAAGGCTACTACTAAATCAAGATAAGACTAGTGATGTGTGTGTTACTTATATTCACTTAAGTAGTATATAACGATAGTCATGAATAGAATGTATTTCAGTAGAAGATCGTAACGAAAAGAACAGAAATGGAAGGCAATTAGGTAATAATAATGCAGATGCAATAAAATCTTAGATGATTAACTGAGATTTGCAAAAGGAATAGTCAAGTTTGAGACAATGGTTTGATATTTTTTCAAATTGACTATTTACTAAATGGTTTTCAGACTTTAGTAGGATATTCTGTGATTTTATGTTCATATATATTCGATTGTCCTCACTCGTGTTCTTGTTCAATACAGGCTTGGTACCTGAAATAATTGATTATCAGTTTGAACTATATTGACAGGACTAGACTAACTGGTTGGGGTATACGTAATCACTGCAATTATTGGTTAGAAGCACTATGTAATATATCTTAAGATTAGTCAGAGTAGAACAGATGTCTCATACACTTTATGCCTCGAATTCATACCAGTGGTCCGGGATCTAACTCCAATGTGATCGTTTCTGATTCCTATTATGATATACATATCGTCAATCCTCGTATATAATTATCAACATAGATCGAGTTAGTAAACAATGGAATTAAATGCGCATATTTTGTACACTCATTGATCTAGACAGGAAATCAGTAGGATGAAGCGTAATGACGCACCATGGTGATGGCGGGTGAACCGACTCGATTTAGTCAAATGTTAATCGACATCTGTTGTCATACAAAAATAAACTACAGACATGTGATGAATAGGATAAGAATTGTACTGACGCACAAGCTCAAATAAAATTGGTCAGTGTTGATAAGCGGAATAATTAACAAGGTCAAAATGTGTCTCAAGTAGAATGAATAAATTGGCTTGTCTCGAACCTAGAATAAGATATATCGGCTTAACATAATAACCGACACCACATCATCCCTTATTGTCAAACTGTATTATTCGATTCTCTGTTGTTGTTTGTTTATAACTATGATTGATATTACTGTCTTCTCAACTTCTTTGATATGCATCTCGTCGTACCAAAGTGACATGGAGCCTTAGACTAAAGTATATTTTTTGAAAGACCATACGTTTATTATGACTGATTAAGATAGATAGAATTTGATTTTTTGAACAGAACGATCCTATAACTTCACGATAAATACACAAACCAAATCAAACCCATAAGGGAGCATCAGATCCGCCAAGATTACAGGTACACCTTGCTGACAAGTGACAAGTAGCACGACTCCTAGGTTCAGGATTTCTTGTTGAATTGTTGACTACAACATTCTATTGACTCTGAACTATCTACAAAGTTTTCACGGGTCTTAATGGATCACTTGATAAAAGGTTATTTTTAACCAGTATATGGTCTCAGTAAACAGTCTTTAACATTTCATTAGTCTCCTGAAAGTTTATTTATATTCATAACAAACAATCTTTATAGGTCAATTTGTGGATTTTACAGTTAGATCGATGTTTTTCCTGATCAGATCTTCACATCGTAATTCACTGAAAAAATTACACTTTTTCATGATCTTTATTACTTCAGTTACAAACAGTATGGTGGTTCATAAATCTTCTTCGTATACATATTCAAGACATCAGAGGAGTTCAGTATGGAACTCATGAGTGTTATTGTGGTAGAATGTATTGAAGTAGTGAAACGTCACCAGTTGAGATGGCTGGAACACCTGTTACGTATGGCCAACCACCAACTGCCACGACATGTAATGTTTTATGTTGTAGGAGAAGGTTAGAAGAAAGCTAGGGGCAGTCAGACCAAAACATGGCACAAATCCATCAAGTCACTGACAAGTGGGCTGAGCCATGTTGGTAGGTGTAGACTACCTGGTTGGCATCGGCGAGACGATAGCAACCGATGGTTAGAGACCTCGAATAACATGGCTCAAAATCGTTTGCAATGGCTCAGGTGCATACATTCTTTGTGTTCTCCAAAATTATAATCTCCTGAAATCTTAATGTCCCCTTATTTTTTCTCTTTCCAAATTTATTTCACTGCATTATACTCCTTGAATAACATCTTCAAACCCTAATCTTTCCGATTACTGTTTATACTCTTACTACCTCTACCATTATGGGATTTGAATCGACAACGGCATCTCTGTGCTAATGTGGTATGGCAACTCGAACTGATGTAAGTACATACGAAGTTCTAAGTTGTTACTCACTGACTGACTGATATATAAATCTATTACTTAATGTAACATTGAAATTGTATACCCAATTTAATCATTCTTGTAGGTTTAATCTAAGAATCGTTACCGACCTTACATTGAAGCATATAGTATCCAATTTTGAGTCGCTTAGATCAATAGCCGTATTGAAACTTGAACGAAAGAGTTTGATCGATAGTGATGTTATCCATTGTAATTATTCACAAAGACTTTGTACTTTTTATCACCTACAATGAATCTGTTGTCTTATAGCTTTGTCAATTATCATGAGACAAGATCACCAATCAGAATATCTACTTATATTAACATTGTCCTTTTGCTAAACCAATGATGCGTTAGTCAACACGAGAAGGCTTGAGTTAGCTCTGAGTCTTTATTAGTTCTCTGTATAGTAGATTCTTGCTTTACCCTACCCATTGAGTTCAGAGCATAAATATCAGTCTCTATTGTATAAATCATATATTTCAGACATACTTTGTTTATATACAAACAGATCAGACTGCATCACACCATAAAGTATAAAATGATAATCCCACAAGATCAAGCTAAGGGTAGCTGCGAGTATGGGATACAGTAACTAATAATGTGAGAAAAAGTTGAGAATGGTAAATTGTACAACAATAGCCCATAAATCACAGGAAAGCTTATAATGTAGTGAACAAGAACACAAGTGGGGACAAAGTATCTGAGAGCCATATAATAAATACTTCATTTGCAAACTGTTAATCAATTATCTCAAACTTGACTGTTTCTTCTTCAAAACACTAATCAATCATCTCAGATTTCGTTTTTCTTTTGTTTCCACACCAATCATTCTCCGTTCATGTTCTCTTTCCTTCGATCTTCCTAACCTTGTGCCACCAGACATTACACTTTCTATTGATGATACATACTACTTATATTTGTCGACATCAGTAGCACACATCACAATGATAATTAGAATATGGGTATATACATATGATTAATTTAGTTATTTAATAATTATTCAATAATTATATGGGTAATAATTGTTCATAAATAATTCCAAGCAGTTATTATTCATTTATTGTTTAACTGGATACAACGGTATATCATTGATTTTTACATTAACAGACATTACATAACTACCATTGTTGCCATGGCAATTGTTTTAGCTGGGATAATATGGGGTGGTGGTCGTAAGTTTATAAAATTGTACACGAATGATATTCACTTGGTGTTGTTTTACTTGTATCTTCCCACTATTATTTAAGACTGCAATTGACCAGTTTCGCTCTTATTGGCATATGTGCATCCGGTGCAGACTGCCTCGATATAGCCTTAAGTCACAAGCTTTCTTAAAAGCAAAGATGGATAGTGGCTAGCAGTGGAATTCAGGAAGCGCGTTTCTTCCTATTTGAGACTCGTCAGCTGGATATACCTGCATCCCACAGTTGATGTTCATTCCGGGACTGGAACGCAGTACCGTTCACTTCAAACACCATCAAATTATCCACTTAGCTACTGAGTCCTGATAGCCATTTGCATGTGCAATGGGGTGAAGTTTAACTTCACTTGCTGTTGTTTGCTTGTACTTTCCCATGGATATTTGGGACTGTAATTGATCAGTAGTAAATATATTCTTCAAGCAGCCAGAAGCACAAACGATGACAACAGGCACAAATCCAATGTATATATACAGTATAAAATTGTCCTTGGGAAGTGTTACAAAATAGCATACCAAAAAGGTACAACGAACCAATAGCGTTTAGGATTCTCCCAAGTGGGGAAATACGATATGAAGGTGAAAATGAGCGGTTTTGGTGCGAAAACAAGGAATTCAAAGTTCTAAAATAAAATTACAAAAATAAGGTATTTCTCAAGTGAGTTCTTGGGATCCGAAATCCCCAACACATAGTCAAAGGAATTAATAAATGTTATGTCACATGACCAATTTATTGTTATCACTTTACTTAGTGTGATTATGATTAACAGAGTTATTTGGTGTTTTCACTTGTATAATTATCAAATCATATGATCACCAAATGCCCTGGTACGGCCGAGGATGGAGAGAGTCATTTCTTCCTCTCAAAATGCACTCACATGTCTATGTGTATACAGCCACTGCTGGGGAAGTCCTACACACCGCCATCTCGTAGCCGGGGTGTTGTTTACAAAATTAAGACAACGAAAAGTGAATGTCCGACGCTTTAACAGGGTTGGTGGATACAGAGGATCCGTCAAGGGGAGTTGGAAAATCCTCATTCCAAACCACTGGTGTACATGGGTTCCATCATCCTAAGGAAACAAATGGCATATGAACCAATTGTTGGTCACCGGCTTCTGTAAGACTGCATATCCTAACGTTTCTCCACTGCCTTTCGGATGAGACCTATATGTCGAAGGTGCCGGGTGTTTTCCCCTAAGGAAACAACCTGCTAAGGTTTGGGCAACCGGGCAGTATCACAGCCATCATAAAAATCAAGTGACTTGTGTGGTGCATATGTATTCGGTGCCCTTTTGTACCAATACTTGTGTGTTCAACTAACTAAATAAAAAAAATCGTATACGAAAATGTTTTTGAGCATTTCAATGAAATAGTTCCGTGAAGTGCTCGGAAAAGATCACAAATTCGGTTTATTCGATAATATGGTATAGCTTATAATTGTTACTAACAATGAGGTAGCGATTTATCCAAAATTAATCAATTTATATCGAGCACTGACTAATTTACTTCCTTACGGCAGTTACCCCTCATGGAGGAGCATAGGCTACCCACCAGCATTCCCCATCCAACTCTGTCCTGGACAATTCTTTCCAGTTGTTCCCAGTTGCTATTCGTTATTTTGATGTCAGCTTCCCATTCCCGACATAATGTGTTCCTTTGTTTTCCTCTTTTCCGTTTACCTTCAAGATTTCAAGTTAGCGCATGCTTTGTGATGCATTCTGATGATTTCCGTAATGTATCTCCTATCCTACTTCCAAAGTCCTTTCCTAATTTCCTCTTCAACTAGAAGTCGGTTTGTTCTCTCTTACAGTAGTCTGTTGTTAGTGTTTTTATTTTATACGGTATGGGGTTTCTGACCTCAAGCCCAACCTTCTTTCTTTACCTGATCTTGGGACCGTCAGTAACTCTTGGAGAGCTACAGGTGGAGTTACTAACCAGTTCAGCGTATTAAAATTTATCGGTATACGGGTTGTGGAGATTATTAAGTTTTTGATTGAAATCACGAACCGATGTTAGACCACAATTGAAAACTTGGAAACACTGGATGGCCGTTTCGTCCTATTATTAGGCTCCTCAGCAGTGCGCTCGCGGGACGCGAACCCAGGGCCTTCAGTCTCGCTCATGAACGCGAACAAATTCTTATCTTTTTTATTTACTTTCTTCTCTCTTGTATTGAGTCATATCAGTTTTTATGCTGAGATTCAATGTACTACTCCATCCTACTTGAAATTCTGGTGAACATTCGCAGTAATAAACGTTAAACGTTAATGAAATGGTAGTGTACTTCTCTTAAACTCCGCCTCTAGAAGAAAATGTCAACATCAGTACCGTTTAAAATGACTATACTTATTATTTGTATTATCCATACATATCGTTTACTTTCTTTTTCAGACACAAGTAACGTGTATATTTTTGTTTTACTACATCTTTTGTTCTTTCTGTGTAAAAGTAAACATTATTATTATGTTGTATTCACCAACTTTCTAAGTGGCTAGCTGCAAAAACACAGAGTTCTGTTTAGGAATCGTCTTTTTTTTCTGGTTAGTGTTTTCTTAATGAGTTGGGGTAACTAACCCTATGCCAAACACCGTCAGTAGCCCCAGAAGGGCTTCATGCGGAGTTATGTACCACTATCTAAGTGTTGAAAATCGATCTCAATACTTATCGCTTTGAATCCTGACGCTTCCTTCTCTATGCTAATGAGTCATGATAGACGCCAATTCACTTAGTATGTATAATAATCATAAAAGTTCAAATCATCCTATTTTCAACTTTCAAAACTGAATTTAAATTATACGCGAAAATGATTAGTGGCTAGCAGTGGAATTTAGAACGTGCGTTTCGTCCTATTTGAGACTCATCAGATGGATGTACCTGCATCTCAGAGTTGATATTCACTCTGGGATTTGAATTTAGATTAGTTTTCTACTGACATATATCTACCCTAAGCAAGTGCTTCACTATTACCTGTATATATGGTCATGATAATGTAATATAATACACTTCATCTCATCTGACCCTCATTAGTATAGAGATTCAAATTTATAGATACAGTTTACCAACATGCATTTAATGAAAAATTTATCAAATAATGATTATATTTATAATCTCATTTTTAACCCTGTTTGGTTTTCTTAGCAACCGATACAACACAGACATGTGAGTTCTTTCTCATTATATAAATCAAATTGTATTTTGCCAATTATTTCCAAACAGCTCTGATCATGAAAAAAAAAATGTCTCCGACACGAAAAGCATTTATACAATGGAGATCTCATGGATCCAAGATCATCAAACCATTATTCAAAACAAAGAAGGAGGGGGATCATAATGATACTCATACAGTGTTATGCACCTACCAAATATATCAATGAAGATGATGAAAATCAGTTTAATGAGAGAGGACACAATCGATCATGACGAAGTGCCCAGGAAACGACCTGACCATCTTGATTAGAGATCTAAACACTAAAGTTGGAAAGGACAACAACAGTTATGAAGATATCATGGGACGACATGAACTAGCAGAAAGAAACGAGATTGGTGAGAGATTGATAATCTATGTTCATTGAATTTCATTGAAACCATGAACCGATATTTGTTAAGCAGTCAATGAAAAGCTGAAAGTACTAGACAGTTGATTTTTCCTAGCTTGGGACTCTTCAGAAGCGTGCATCCACTAACTTACACGCAGGAACCGGACTCAGGATCCGTGGTTTAACGAGCAAAGGCTTAACCTCAAGGTAATTGATCAGGAGTCCAGTACTGTATGAACACGTAACTTTGATCAAATCAGTACAAAATTAGTCTACTTTCAATCCGGTGTTTGACAGTGGTTCTGATCGATGAGTTATTGAGGGCTCAGGGGTCTGGAATTTAAGATTAATTATTAACCGTTTATTTTTAGTATGAAATTCATAGATAGTTCACATTTTCGGCCTCATCAAGGATTAAACGCAAAACGCTTAGGTCTCACAAAGGTCACTTAGAACTATTGGGTTAGTGCTTAATGAAACACATTTCGATTTGCTATATTGAGCGAAGATTATTTAATGCCATTTCCGGCATGTTTAATTTTCATTAGTCATACATTCCAACTAAATTTTCAAGAACACCTTGAAGTGGATATTTCGGAGACTGCTTTAATATAGAAACATTATTCTTCACATATTATTACTGGTAGGGGCACTATAGTAAATCAGGAAGCATTGGAATGGAAGTTAGGAATCTACACGACTATCAATCTTTCTTCTGTCACACGCAACCTAGAAGCTGTCATATATGTTCACTGCTTCAAGTTGACACATTTCACTAACACAAGCTACCTTTCAACCTATACTTACACCAGCTACCATTAAGCACAAAGGTAGGCTGTAATATATATCAGTGTTTCTAAAATTTATATGTTCATCATGAGACATGGTGGTTCAAGGTATAGTATTCGATGAGGTCGTGAGTGTATATTGTTACAAAACCTCTTACCAGCAACAAACAATTCTCCTGTAACCGGTGTTTTTTACGGACATCTCCATTGCAATGTTTCCGGTTTAATCTCGATAAAAAAAAACCGAACATCATCTACAAAATAAACTGTTCCAATGACGAAGAGCACTATATCAGGCAAAATAAACTCCCCTTTCACATCTTTGTGTGCATGGATATCAATAAGCGGTCAAACGTTATGACATGTATATGGAAAACTGTGGACAAACATTCGACTGGCAAAAAAATGTTGAAATCAGCAATCAATAAACAAATCGAGATCGAATCAGTCTATCAACCAAATAAGAAAAAATCATGAACAGTTATATAGAACCAAGGATCACATTAAAGGGAAAATAAAGAAGAAGATGATGACAGAATAATGGTCAACAATAACCAGTTCAGATTGAAGCCGACAGAACAAACTGTGAATCATATGTTGTGATGAAATTTGAACATTACACTTCTATCTAAAGTTTGTGTTATTGATGATGTTGTTCAAAAGAACAATGTAAGCTTCACGACAAAACCATTCAGCTTAGAGAAGAAAACTCCAACATAATCATCCATCTGAGCTACAAATCTTCCTCGTTATCTCGAAACTTTAAATTTATTTACTAAGATAGTGTTTCATTATCAGAAATATCATAATTATATTTCATTGTATGTTCCAATAGAGTGCTTGGTACCTGTATGGTTGCGCCACAGATTGTAGCGTTAGAGCCTATACGGTGTCTGGCTCTCTTGTTAAACGGGATTGAGCTGTACTATTTGGGTAGTCACATGAATGTCTGGATAGAGTTTGGTTCTCCTGAAAACCGAGGTAAAATTATCCATGCTCACAAGAGTATATCATATAACTATAACTATCTTATTGTATGTATCTTTTTTAGATATAAGAACGACAAGTAAGATTTACATTATTAACATTATTTTGACTGAATTCACATTGTTCGAGTGCTATATTTGCAGCGATTACAAGTTCACACAGTCTGCAAATGGAAACGAAGATTCTGCAACACAATGATAGACAAACTAACTATTCTCATGCGTCTCAACCCCGCTAACTAGAGAGAGAAGTTCAAGTTCGAAAGTGGAAGCAGTCAGAAGCACAAGCGATGACAACAGGAACAAATCAAACGTATATATACAGCATAAAATTGTCCTTGGGAAACGTTACAAAATAACATACTAAAGAGATACAACGAACCAATAGCGTTTAAGATTCTTCCAAATGGGAACTATGATATGAAGGTGAAAATGAGAGGTTTTGGCGCGAAAACAAGAAATTCAAATTTTTTAAATAAAATTACAAAAATAAGGTATTTATTAAGTAGGTTCTAGAGGATCGAACATCCCCAACGTCGAGTTAATATTAGACTACACAAATATTAAAGGAGATTTGTGGAAAACAAAATCGATTAACAAATTGTTTAATCTCATTGATGTTTATGACTCCAATTGATCAGTCTCTCATTGTTATATGTACATCCTAAGTCACAATCAGCATGAGTAGAGACGGGTGGTGGACAGCAGTTGAATTTAGGATGGGCGTTTAGTTCTTCGTTAAGATTTGTCAGATGGATGTACCTGAATCTCAAGGTTAATGTTCACTCCGGAACTCGAGCCTAGTACTTTTTGCTTCAAGCACCATTGCGTTATCCACTTAGTGACTAATTCCACATATTTCTATATTTATACAGTTTATATTATTCTTCAAATTAATGTTGAAGATTAAAACAAAATTTATACAGTTAACGAAGACTTGGATAGTACAATACAATTTATTCTATTGCTCAAAATCACATTGCATTTACAAAATAATACACTCAATACATTATTTGCACATCCTCCTTGAATTGATTGTAAAAAGCTCCATCGTTCTTTCATCCCTGTTGCTACTCAAACTGCTTCTGTTTTTCTTTCTCATTTCCCTCCTCTGTCAATAACAATCTTTATTCCAATTACTGATTGACACTACTTATATCTGTCCGTATATGTAACACATATCAGAGTTGAACTGAATATTCCTTATGATGTTATATCATCTCAGTTGAATAGTTCATTCATTCTCATAAACAAAGGAATAGTATAAATCTTTTTTGATATACTTCAACGAACAACTAATTTCTGTAAAGCTCAAAAGGCGGCGTGTGAATAGAGTTACAACCAGGATGCACAAACATATTTTAAGATTATAAACATATAGACATATTGTCTAACAATTTGTTTTATCATATTAGCTGGTATCTTTGGTACAGTTTATAATGTATGCACTATGTGAAACAGTTTAGAGATAACGATAAAATACCATGCTTAAATGTAAAAGATTAGTCTATGTATGAATATGAGAAATGATGGAAGGTTTTTGATTGCGATCATGAACTGATCGATGTTAAACAACCATTGAAAACCTGGAAACACTGGATGACTTTTTCGTCCCAGTATCGGACTCAGCAGTGCGCATCCACGATCCTTGCTTGAGAGATTTGGACTTAGGTAATTCTGTCTTGTGCGCAAACACTTAACCTCTAAACCACTAAAACGGCCGGCATCCAATGGTGTTATTGTCTAACCTCAACCAATCTAAAAAATTGCCTGTCTATTTTCCATTGTACTGAGGTAGTTACCTGTTTCTACCCGACACAGATTAGCTCCATTAGTTACTGTTTTTCTAGTAAGGGAAGGTTACCAAATTCTAAATTATCGTAATTTACGCTAACATGACGTTATGACAAGTTAGAATACTATTCTATTTATAAAATTCTTACACAATGCAATTAATATTTCATCACAAATTGACATCAATTAAGAGGAGGGGATATTTTCAAAAGATGACTGACTCAAAAAGATAACAGTACGCTAATTAGTGATTAAATTTAACATAGATTATGGAAAATCGTTTTCTTAGAAGTCATCGTTAATCATGATGAACATTGTCTCCATGATCTTAACCATGTAATTTATGATGGCTTGTGTTTTGTATGGTGGTGGTGGTGGTGGTGGTGACGGGGGTGGGGTTGGCAAACAATACGAAACACAACTTACCGGAAAACGTTTTGTTCTAATCATTTTATACATACATATATACTATGACATAACTTGATACTAGGGTTAAGATGTATAAATGTATGTGTCAATGTGATTATGTCATTTATTTCATTTCGAAAATTCTCAATCCAAAAAGTGGAATCACAAATGAATACAATTCGTTCTGTGATTCAAATTAGAATTGGTATGGATAGATTTGAGATTGGAGGGTACTACTGTATTCATATGTGTACTAAATGTAATTTCCAAATGTAATACTAAACTGATTGGAAATACACTTGGTATTGTTTACTTGAATCTACCCATTGATGTTTAGGATTGTGAATGGACATCAATTCTGAGATGCAAGTACATCCAGCTGACAAGTTTCAAATAGAACGAAACGCGCGTCCTGGATTCCACTGCTAGCCTCTATTCATCTTTGTTTAGAATGCTCGTGAATTAAGGCAATACGCACAAGATGCACATATGCCAATAAGAGACTAATCAGTTGGAGTCGTAAACAACAATGGAAAGATTCAAGTAAACAATATTAAGTGATTTTAACTTCGCCCATTGGACAAGCAAGTGGCTATTAGGACTCAGTAATTAAGTGGATAACGCGATGATGTTTGAAGCGAACGGTACTAGATTCAAGTCCCACAGTAAACAGCAACGCTGAGACAGGTACAACCGGCTGATGAGCCCTAAATCGAACGAAGCTCGCGTCTTGGATTCCACCGCTAGCTACTATTCATTTTCGCTTAGAACGGTCAGGAATAGTTTCTCTTTTGAATCATGAAAAACTGTAAACTGCGTTCTGATTGAAAAATTATTACTTTTCACTTCGCAGCGAAAGCTCCAAGACCTGGTGAGTAATAGTCCGTAATTTTCATGCATAATAGAATAAATGATTTACAAAAGCATTTTTTTGATGATGTGCCCTCTACGATATATGAGAGAACTTCCATTTTAAACACATTGAAACTGTTCGTTTTGATTGAGATCATGATGATAGACCACCGTTGGAAACCTGGAAGCACTGGATGGCCGTTTTGTCCTATTGTGGGACTTCTCAGCAGTGCGCATCTACGATCCTTCTCATAGTATTCAAACCCAAGGTCTTCAGTCTCGCGAGCGAATGCTTAACCTACTGGACCACTGAGCCGGAATCGAATAGTGTTAGTGTCTATCGGTTCATGACCTCAATCAACAACCCATATACTGATAGTTCTTTTTTTTCTTCTCTAGTTACTGAAAAACAAGGACCATGTAAGTAAACCTTTACTACTTATTTTACTTACTTACGCCTGTTAATCCCCAGTGGAGCATAGGTCGCCGACCAGCATTCTCCAATTCATTCTGTCCTCGGACATGTTTTCTAATTCTATCCAACTGTTGTTCATTCTTCTTATATATGTCTCCATTTCTCGGCATAACATGTTCTTTAGTCTTTCTCATCTCCTTTGGCTTTGAGGATTCCAAGTAACGGATTGCCTTGTGATACATTTGGGTGCTTTGAGGTAAAACTATACATATTAGTCACCCTAATAAACATGTAGACTAAGGTTTTGAAAAGTTTATTTTTCTGAAAATAAACCCAATTTCCATTTGTATTATTCAAAACACTATTTTGAAGTGCTCAAAAGGTAAACTATTCAGATACCTTGTTATTTTCATGATTTTTACATTGATTTTCTCAGCTTGGAATGATTTAGTGAAATTGTGAACACAGATAAATTCCGAAGTTTATACTTATTGATTTATATTAGAAGAGGATTTTATGGAGACTTTAGTAATTCAATAGTTGAATTCATGAATCAATTGAAACTCAACCGATAGGTCCTAAGTTTAAATCCTCCAGGTGGGATCGTAGATGCGCATTGCTGAGGAGTCTTACAATAGAACGAAACGGTCGTCCACTTCTTCCAGGTTATTCACTATTGTCTGTAAAGTGAATCGATGTTTGAAAAGTTCAGAAAACTATATAGATCAATATTTTCATCAATAAAATGAAGAGTTGACAATCGTCGCTTACTTGGATCATTCTTGTAGTCTTTAAGGATGTCAAGAGATTCAGTAATTCCTTAGATGAAAAGATGTTTACTAAATGAGTTATCTCCATGAATTTCCTGAGAGTTTAATGATATCTATACTTAGCAATTTTAACAAATTCAATCACATATGTATCAAACACTACAGTTTGTACAAAGAATAAATAAAGCCAAATACCTCGATTCCATAATCATACTGAAGTACCAAAGTAACCAGTTTACTCCGTTAATTCCGATCAATACTTTCCCACAGTGACATCTGCTTATGTTTCTATCGATACATAACTAAATTCTTAATACAAGACTCATGTCTTATTTTATTTGGGATTAATCAACTAGATATTATCTACATTCTAGTATTAATCTCTATGTTCTCAGTTCAATCTAATAATAATTTGTATAATAATAATTTGTATTTCAGTCGTAATTGATGATGATAAGAGTAAGTTCTATGAGAATATCCTACTCCTAATACATAACTATCAAGAACCACTGTAACCTTAAGTGCCGGTGAAGAGTGAGGAGAGTTTTCTCTCCCTCTAGAAATGCTCTCACATGGCCACGTGCATACAACCACTGACAAGGAAGTCTTACTCACTACCTTCTCGCGGCATTACTGTTGTTTACGAAATTGAGAGGACGAAAAGCGAATGTTTGACGCTTTAACAGGGTTGGTGGACATGGAGAGTCTACCTTGAGGAGTTTGGAAACCCTGATTCCAAAACAATGGTGTACATGGTCTCAAGTATCCTGAAGGAACAAATGGCGCATGAACTAATCGTTGGTCACCGGCTACCATGGGACTGTATCTCCTTACGTTGCTCCACTGCATTGTAGATGAGACCTTTAGGTGAAAGGCTCCGAATGTGACCCCCTGAGAAAACCGCCTAGATTGGTTTTGACACCCGAACAGTATTCGAGCCCTCACACAAATCAAGCGACTTGTGTGGCGTTTATCTATTTAGTGCCTTCTTGTACCAATGTTCATGTATTTGAATAAAATAAAATGAATAAATTGCAACAATACGAACTGTGAACCAAAAAGCAACTGGTTCAAAGTTTTATTGACTTAACCCGAACTACACTCAATCTATATACTAATCTTTTACACGTTTAAGGATTATCTATTAAATATCATGGTTATTGTTAGCTTAAACAAAGTTCATACAGAAAAAAAACTAATGTAGGACATAGGTTTGATCCTTGGTGAGGTTGTGAATACTTATTGTCTAGGAATCCCAAACTGATAGGGAGAAACTGTCCAGCAACCCAAAGATCTAAGTGATATGCAAAATGAGATCATTCTCAAAGAAATGTTTACGTATACATTTCATTTTTTTACATTTTTTAAAAATGTGTTTATTAGTTATTTAATTACGGTTAGTTACCCCTCGTTGAGGGGCACCGGTCGCCCTCCAGCATTCTCCATCCAACTCTGTCCAGGGCAATCCTTTACAGCTCTTTTCAGTTACTATTGATCCTTTTCATGTTTGCTTCCGATTCCCGACGTAGTTGTGTTGTTCTGCCTTCCTCTTTGCCACTTCCATTCAGGATTCCAAGTTAGCTCTTGCCTCGTGATTCAATTTGATGATTTCCGTAATGTATATCTTATCCAAGTTTTAAAGTCTTTTCCTAATTTCTTCTTCAATTGCAACTTGGTTTGTTCTCTCTCACAATAGGCTGTTGCTGATGGTGTCCGGCTAATAGATGTTGATTATCTTGTGTAGACAATCGTTTATACACACTTGTACCATTTTGATGATGGTTGCAGTAGTTCTCCAAGTTTATTATTATTATTTATCAATTTCAATGGTATTAAAATAATGTACATTCTCGTAGACATTGAAATATCATTTTATCTGAAGCTCAATCTTGCCATAGTAAACTGGTGATATTAACATTTTAGGATATCTGGATTGTGGATAACAATCACATTCAAGATCTGAGATTTTTGGGTACTGTATCTAGATGTCAATGGTGATGTTCAAACAGAGATTCGATCATAGTACCTACCACACTAACACAATAACTACGAAGGTACAAAATTAACGCATTCGATAACATGTTCAAGGAATATGACTTTTATTCGTTAGGGTTTGTACCATTCTATTGTCAATATTTAAAACTGAATAGTTGATAGATGCAATATTGAGGTACTTTAGTGACCCGGGATCTGACTCCATTTGGATCGTATGAATGATTGCTAACGAGTTATCGAAATATAAATATCCTGGCTACCTTCGTGTATGATTATCGACTTAACTCGCCTTCGTGAATAAACGATCGGAGAAACGAAGTAACGAGAAGAGAGTGGAGGGAAATGATGCGCAGTGGTGAAGGCATGTAAGCCAACCCGATTTAATCAAGCGTTTATCTATATTTATAGTCAGATAAAAATAAGTTACAGACACTTGACGATTAAGATAGAAAATTCATACACATATATTTACATATACAACAGTCAAATTTGATAAGTGAATAATTGGATAGCATCAGTGCGATTCATTGTGTATGTGGAACATCTTTTTTTCATCACCGGAACATAACAGTAGCTTCCCTGAAGTTAGTCTTTGTTGTCCAATGTGAGACCAATGTGTTTCACTAATTCCAGGTTGAATCATTTTATTTATGCAGCAATGTGGATGACTCTCCTGATCTCCCACATTCAACGAGTATTCCATGTCCCTACATTAATGGTTGCTCTGATTGTCAGAAGGGGCATAAGCCTCTTGACTTCCGAAAGAACTCGTTTTTTACCATGAGGCGTCATAACTCTTCTAAATGAAGACCTAACTCCTAGGTCAGAGTTTAAATGGCTTGGATTATTTTTTCTGGTTAGCTTTTTTTTAGAGAGTTGGTTTTCTACAGGATAGGGTCGCTAACCCTATGATCAACCCTCTTCCATTGTCTGGGCTTTGGACCGGCAGTAGCCCCAAAGGGGCTCCACATGGAGTTAAGGAAATAACTAACAAGGTTAAAATGTAGTTTGAGGAGAATGGATAAGTTTTTTTTAGAATCTAGAATAAGCTATGTTGGCTTAACATAGTAACTGACACTAATATACCCGTTCAAAATGGATATATAACACCATTGATTGATTAAAAATCAATTCACGATATCAACAAAACGATGATACATAACCCTTATGATATCAAATTTAAATATCATTTGACAACTGAAAAATAAGATATTCCTGATTATTTTCAAGCATGACATTAGTTAGCATAGTGAAATGAAGTTAAAATAGTAAACACTACTTAATTGATAATTCAGGCGACGATAATGAATTATTTTTACACATAACAACAGAAATCATTCAATGATAGCTTCACTAACTATGATCCCAAGTGATGTGGATTTAACAGTATTCTTTGTCTGAAGATTGTAACTAAGCTTTACTAACTAAAACCACCTAACCCGAAACTTAGTTAGAACAAGTTGACATCTTGGCTATCTCCAACCACTTAACATTGAACAGTTATCAAACAATTGTAGCGGTAAATAAATCCTTAAAATAAATAGCTCTGTAAGTCTTCGACATTGGATGCTGACCATATTAATTTTATTGTACTCACCTAGTTTAAGGCGCTCAGTCATGCATCCGCACTAGATAATGAGTGAGAACGTCGTACCCAAAATCCCCAGCAGTTGCTAGCCAGAGTAGATAAGTCGATCCACGATATATTGATAGCTTGTTATATATATCTTTGAACCTTCTCGCTTCTGTCTTTCGATTTCACTTGGTGGGTACGATTCATATTAGAAGATGTTATGGGTTAAAGGGTTGTCAAACTCTAAATACCTGTGGCATCTTCACAAACATTTATGTCAATTATTAAATTCATAATCATATGACATCCATCCATGATGATTGAGGACATTTACCAAACCATAAATCTATGACAATTGTCATCAATAAGTAAGAAACTTCAAATCGAATTTCAATAAAACTAGTATAAATTCGCTTAATGTTGTTTACTTGTATCTTCCTATTGTTATTTAGGACTGCAATTGATTAGTTTCTCTCTTATTGGCATATGTGCATTCTGTGCAGACTGCCTTGATATTACCTGAAGTCACAAGCTTTATAAGCAAAGATAGATAATAGCTAGCAGTGGAATCCAGTTTGACGCGAATTTCGTCCTATTTGGGACTCATCAGCTGGACGTACCTGCATCTCAGAGTTGATGTTCACTCCAGGGCTCGAGCTCAGTACTGTTTGTTTCAAACGCCATCAAATTATCCACTTAGCTACTGAGTTCTAATAGCCACTTGCTTGTGCAATGGGGTGAAGTTTTAAATTCGCTTGATGTTATTTACCTGCATCTTCCCATTGATGTTTACGATTCTTATTGATCAGTCTCTTATTGGCATATGTGCATCATGAGATGTAGGTACATCCAGCTGATAAGTCCCAAATAGGATGAAACATGTATCGTGGATTCCAGTGTTAGCCACCATCCATATTTGCTTACAAAACTAGTATACGTTTAAAGATAACGACATTTATTTTGAGATTATCCTGATATTCACTAAACGTTAATCGGTTCTCTCCAAAGTAACTAATTTCTAAGTTGGAATTGGTGATAAGACTTCATAGTTAATAATAATTTCATTATTATTTCGGGCGTCCCAATTTACAAGCTCCAGATTATTTGAACAGCTCAATTTATATGGTTAGCAACACAATTTCTAAACCTGTGTGGTATTTAATATACATCAACCTTATTTTGTGAATCGAAATGTAAGAAGCCAAACACAATGGAGTTCCTGAGAAGGATGTCAACATTGTCCGGAAATCGTACGACGGACTACAGTGCAAAGTGGTGCATGGAGGACAGCTGACAGATGTACTCCAAGTAAGGACAGGAGTCAAAAAAGGCTGTCTACTCTCCCCGTTCCTCTTTCTTGTGGATTATGGAGACCTCGAAGGGACAGCCTAGAACCAATTAGACGATTTCGACTTCCCAGATGCCCTCCTATCCCATGCACACAAACAAATGCAGACGGAGACAACTAGTGTAGTGGCGACCTCTGCATCAGTAGACCTTAACATACAAAAGAACAAACCATGACCCTCGAATATGACACGGAGAACACCAACCTAATCATACTTGATGGCGAAACTCTGGAAGATGTGGAATCCTTCACGTATCTGCGAAGCATCATCAATGAACAAGGAGGACCGGATGTACATGTAAAGGCACTCATACAATTGAAGAACATATACAACTCAAAACAACTGTCTCTCAACCAATCTCAAAGTCAGAATCCTCAATACGAACGTCAAAACAGTTCTAATGTAGGAAGCTGAAACGTGAAGAACTAATACGACCATCATCAAGAAGGTTCAATTATTTATAAATAATTGTATGCGCAAGATACTCAACATTCGTTGCCTGGATACCATCAGAAACAGCCTATTGAAAGAGGGAACAAACCAGCTTCCAGTTGAACAGAAAATTAGGAAAAGACGTTTGAATTGGATAGACCATACATTACGCAAATCATCAAACAGCATCACGAGGCAAGCTATAACTTGAAATCGTGAATGGAAGCGGAAAAGAGGAAGGCCAAAGAATACATTACGTCGGGAAATATGAGAAGATATGAAAAGGATGAATAGCAACTGAAAAGAGCTGTAAATTATTGCTCAGGATAGGGTTGGATCGAAATCACTGGTGGGCGGCCTATGCTCATCCACGAGGAGTAACACGCGTAATTAGGTAAGTCGTCTATTATTGGTTGGCATATTTTCATCCTATATTGATTGCCTTCATGTAGCCATTAATAAACAAATGAATATAGAACAAATAGAATATGGCTAGTAGTAGAATACAGGATATGTCTTCATCCATCTGACAAGTAATTTGACAAAATCCTCCTAAATCTATCAATATCTCATCTATAGCAATGGCATAAAATAATGCCAAGCTCTGAGTATACATGAGAATAATCAAGAACTTTGTAAGTGAACGAAATGTCTTTATAGCGATCTTAAGCTGTTTGTTTTTAACTGGTTCTTATGTTCGTTATCATTAGATGTAGTCCCTGTAGTAGTTAATAATAAACATATTTTTTAATTGAGATCATGAACCGATTGATGTTAGACCACAATTGAAAACCTGGAAGCACTGGACAGCCATTTCGCCCTATTGTGGGACTACTCAGCAGTGCAGATACATGATCCTGCTTGTGGAATTCAAACCCAACACCTATCAGTCTCGCTCGCGAACGCCTAAACACTAAACCACCGAGTTGGCCTGCATGTCTAACTTCAACTAATCCACGAAATTGAGCAACACATCCACCATTGTCATCAGTAAGTTACTCTGTCACAACAGACCCAGTTCAACTGTACTGGTCACTGCTTCTCACTAGAACTCTTGGATATACCTCTTGATGCCAAGTCACTAGTGAGCATATGCTCAATGAGTAGATAAACTTGTATTTCTAACATTCCATCAGTTATTTATTTACTCTGATGAAGTGACTTGCATTAAGTCACGAAACATTAGGAATATTGATTATGAACTCAATATCCAATGCTCAATTTATTTGAAACTAACAAGTTCAACCATGATATAGATAACTATGTAGAAGTGAAATATTAAATTATAATATTTGTTATATGTATGATAGAACTTATTCGTCGTAAGTTAAACAATATTTATTACTTATAATCTACTACTTATTTTCATTTGGTGTTGTTTTACTTGTATCTTCCCATTGTTATTTAAGACTGTAATTGATTAGTCTCTCTCTCTCTTGTTGTCATTTGTGAAACCTGGGCGGACTGTCTTGATATTAAAAGTTTTGATAGTAAAGTAGCATTCAAAGATGAATAGAACAATAGGCTCTGTTATATTTTAGTTTTATGCTAATTACCATCAGTTAGCTTGGCATAGATATATATATGCAACTTTAAAGGAAATAGTGTATTGAATAGGATTCACTTGTCAAATTGTATGATGTTGTGTTGTTGTGTGTTTTTTTTTTGTTTGTTTGTTTTTAAATCGACTTAGTTACTAAGATCTTTAGAAATTTATTAAATATTTAATACTGACTAGTAATGACTATTTGGGTTATATTAAGGTTAAAACAGAAATTGACTTATGTAACAATATTTTGACCTAAAAGACAGAGAGTGTTTACACCTACGCCATTGTGATCTATTCTGAGCCATATCACATAGAGTCTCCATTAATTGGTTACAATAGTCACGCCAATCCCAACCTAGTGGTTTGTATCTCTATTTTCATGGCTTAGACTAGAAGTTAGGGACTTCAAGTACTGATACCATGTTTTGGTTTAGCCGCCCCCAACTTTCTTCCAACCATCTCCTACACTAGTCAGCATTAAGCATCATGGTAAACAGTGTTCAGGCATATGTAACACATGGCCTAACCATCTCAGTCGATGAAGATTCAAAATCAGATAGTTAGTTCAAATTTTGACCAATAGAGTTCATGCATCAAAGTCTTTCAGCAATTATTAGACCTTGAACTAGCATATGTCAACAGATACATGATTTCTAAACAGACCTAAACTTATCGTTTTGAACTAGTCTATCTCACAATTTCATTCTCTGAGCTGGATATTTAGATCATGAAGATATATATTTTTGATCTTCTGAACCATGTCATCAACACAAACTTGAGGTAGAAGTGAAATACGCTTAAGATCAAGTTTAAGGTAAATAGGACCAGCTGAGTCATATATGTGACAAAATTTGAATACTTCACTTCGACTTAAAGTTTGTGCTGGTATATTTCCATTCTACTCAACTCTATTGAGTAAATACATTAGTTTTCTTTTTTTTTAATTTATACGCTAAATGCATATTATGAGAAGCAGTGACCAGCGGAGTTCAATCAGATCCGTTGTGAGATAGTAACTCACTGATGACAATAGTGGATGTGTCGATCAATTTCGTGGATTAGTTGAAGTTAGACATTAACACCGTTGGATGCCAACCATCTAAGTGGCCTAGTGTTTAAGCATTCGCGCGCGAGACTGTTAGGTCTTGGGTTTGAATCCCGCAAGCAGGATCATGTATGTGAACTTCTGAGGAGTCACACAATAAGACGGAACGGCCGTCCAGTGCTTTCAGGTTTCTCACAGTGGTCTAGCTTCAACTAACTCATGATCTCAACTATTGAAATTACTACAATATCCACAAAACCCCTTCTGATATATTATGTCGTAATGAAAGACGTAATGGAAAAATTTTAGGGTATAAAATTTAATTGAAGCAAATCATTGTTTAATAAAATATGAAATATTAAGTTTTTGATTGAGATCATGAGCTGATTGATGTTAGACCACCACTGAAAACCTGGAAACACTGGATGGCTGTTTCGTCCCAGTATCGGACTCCTCAGAAGTGCTCATTCACGATCCTTCTTCGCGAGATTTTAACCCATGTCATTCGGTCTCATTCTCTGACGCCTAACCTCCAGACCACTGAGCTGGCCGGCACCTAACGGTGTTAATGTCTAATCTCAATCAATCTTTAATTGTACTAATGGATTAACTCCACTGGTGCAGCTTCTTACTAGAACCCCATGGATTCACTCACGAAGCTATTTTCTAACGAGCATTTATTTCAAACATCTAAGACTTTGTACATATATCTTCGATGAACACTCCACTGTAACACATCTTCATTTAGTTAGATGAAAAAGTAAATACAATGAATGTTTCAGCCTGAAATGAAATCCCTAAATGGAAACTATACTCTTTTTTGTCCCATTTGTCGTTTAAACTGAACATCAGAAAGCGTATTCTCTATAAATTCACTGTTATATATCCTATCCAGTTGAGAATCAGTTACACAATTCAAACATATGATATAGAGTGAAGTAATTATTATTATTACTGTTATTATTATATCCTGTATTAGGGAAAATAGACTGTTAGATTTAACTTATTCATTAGCTGATGATTACATCATCTATGATTTTAGATTATCCCAGAAAACAACGTGAGTAAAATACTCTACTTATCATAATGAACGAAATATAAAAAATTGGAAGGATACTGTAAAGAATGATTTCATTTGTAGATAGACTTGTTTCAGTTGGAACAAGACTTAAAATCATGGGTTAGCTGGACAGTCACTTTATCATAGCTTAAAGTTTCTTAGTATTATCTAATCATGACCTCACTATGGATGAAACTTAGAAGTGTTAGATCTCTCAGGGAGATCTTAACCGATAATAACACTAAGCATATATTCATATATATATATAGGAGTATATATAAGAGACTGAACAATTTCAGTCCTTAACATCAATGCAAAGATTCAAATAAAACAATATCAAGTGAATTAAACTTTACCCCATTTCATAAGCAAGTGGCTTTAAAAATTCAGTAGCTAAGTGAATAACTTGATGGCGTTTGAAACGAACAGTACTGAATTCGAGTCCCAGAGTGAACATCGACTCTGAGATGCAGGTACATCCAGCTGACGAGTCCCAAATAGGACGAGACGCGCGTCAAACTGGAGTCCACTGCTAGCCACTATCCATCTTTGCTTATAATGCTTGTAAATTAAGGCAATATCGAGGCATACACACAGTATGCACATATGCCAATAAGAGACTGAACAATTTCAGTCGTAAACATCAATGCAAAGATTCAAATAAAACAATATCAAGTGAATTAAACTTCACCCCATTTCATAAGCAAGTGGCTTTAAAAATTCAGTAGCTAAGTGAATAACTTGATGGCGTTTGAAACGAACAGTACTGAATTCGAGTCCCAGAGTGAAGATCAATTTCGAGATACATGTATATTCATCTGAAGAGTCACAAATAGGATGATATGCGCGTCCTGGATTCCATTGCTAGCCATTATCCATCTTTGCTTACATCTAGATTCTTGTTTAAAAATCTTATAAGTAATTCTTATTTATTATTTACTAGCTAAACTAATTTGTACACAGAGTAAGTTTCACATTTTACTCATTACCAGTTTATGAATAGTATACTAAATGAAATAAATAGATGATGGTACAGCATTCACAACACAAATCAAACATATTTATTGTCATAATGATTAAATAATCTGATTTTCAATTAATATATCATTAGTATCAGAATGGGTTTTGTGAAGATTGTAGTAATTTCAATAGTTGAGATTATGAGTCAATTGAAGCTAAACTACCATGAAAGACCTGGGAGCACTGAACGGTCGTTTCGTCCTACTATGGGACACTTTCCGTGCAGTGCGCACCCACGATCGCGCCGCCTCGCGAGATTCGAACCTAGGATCTATCAGTCTCGCATGCGAGCGCTTAACCAACTAGACCACTAAGTCGGTCGGCATCCAATGATGTTAATGTCTAACTTCAACTAATCCACGAAATTGAGTGACACATCCATCATTGTCATCAGTCAGTAACTATCTCACAACTGATTTGGTTGAACTCCATTGGTCACTGCTTCTCACTAGAACTCCAGGAAATACCTGTTGAAGCCAGTCACTAATGAGCATATGTTGATTAGTATCCGAAGGGGTTTTGTGGAGATTGTAGTAATTTCAATGGTTGAGATCATGAGTCAGTTCAAGCTAGAATACCATGGAAAACATGGAGGCTTTGGGTTTAGAAGTCCTGGGTTCGCATCCTGTGAGGTGGAGTCATGGATGTGCATTGCTGAGGAGTCCCACAATAAGACAAAACGGCCTCCCAGTGCTTCCAGGTTTCCAATAGTGTTTTAGCTTTAATTCAGTCATGAATTCAACTATTATCAACTAATATTAAATCTTGGACATAAAAAAGGGATTTTATAATTCACAAGTAACAACTTGTTGAAATATTGAAATGATTATTAATGTCAAACATACTTGAATCAGTCGGTAGGTCAATTGAATTTTCAAAATTTGAATTCAGAATAAACATTAATTCTAATAGTTGAGTTCAAGAGTCGACCTAAGCTAGAGCACTATTGAAAAGCTAGAAGTACTGGATGGCCATTACGTTTTAATATGGAACTATTCAGAATTGCGCATCTAAGATATCACACGCGGGACTCAAACGCAGGAACATCAATCTCACTCCCCTAGATGGTTTCTCCATATTCACCAACACGGTTAAAGTTACGAAAATTCGCTTTTCGTGCCCTTAATTTCGTAAACAACACACCCATGCAGCGATTAAGACTTCCCTGACAGTGGCTGTATACACGAGTTCATGTGAGAGAATTTCAAGAGGAAACCCTGATTATCTCTACTATTGGCCTTATCAAGGTCGAAGTATATATGAGATGATGTGAATGTGATCACACGTATTACAACTTAGTGCTTACAGTATAAAATCACATAAGTATTCCATTGGACATCTGATTAAAATTATCAGTATAGTGTTGTGAAAACTGTTGAGTTTCATCAAGATCATGAACCGATCAATGATGAACTATCATTGCTCTCAGGTTTTCATTGGTGGTCTATCATTGATCGATTCATGATCTCAATTAATAAAAGTTGTTATTGTCTGGCAAAATACGTACGAAAGGAATGTCTCAGGTCTAATTAAGTGAAATTATTTACTTGAACATAACAACCTTTAATCTCCTTTAAAACACTACTTTTTCATAAATCATATAGACTCCTTGAAAGACGTAACAGTATGAATATCTCAGCAGTAACGTCTGTGATGCTGAATCCTGAGTAAATTCTCTTGGGAAACATCAGTTCCCTTAAGATTACATGTATACCCTACTGACGACTGTTAAATAGCACGAAACCTAGGTCAAACAGAGTTACCCGTCGAGTACTTTCAACCATCACCTTACATCTCAGCCTAGTACATGCACTGTCAAGTCAACTAGACTAGTAGCCACATGACAAATTGATTGATATAATCCAATCAGCAACAAGGAAAAACTTAACATACATGACAGTGATCATTACACAGTAACCAGGTGATTGTAAAAGTATGATTTAAAAAGAATTTCATTAAAATCTTAACACTTGAGGATCTAAACTTTTGATAGGCTAGCGTGAAATATCCTATCCCTATGGGTTACACAATAATTGATCACTACGTGAATTAAGGAAGTCTTATACATATCAAAACAATATAGCTACAACACTTCGAACATCCCTAATGTAATCAATATGCCATAAACAAATAAAACTATCTTTTTGCAAGAGAAATTTTACCATCTTCAGTTTCATGAATCATATCATGAATAAATTATAGTACTGTAGTGTATACTACTTACGTTGACAGATAGTCAATCAGTAACAACTTAGAACTTCGTATGTACGTACATCAGTTCGAGTTGCCATACCACATTAGCACAGAGATGCCGTTGTCGATTCAAATCCCATAATGGTAGAGGTAGTAAGAGTATAAACAGTAGTCGGAAAGATTAGGGTTTGAAAATGTTATTCAATGAGTATAATCCAATGAAATAAATTTGTAAACAGAAAAAAATGAAGAACTTGAACAATTCAGAAGATTAAAATTTAGGAGAACACAAAGAATGTATGCACCTGGGCCATTGCAAACGATTTTGAGCCATGTCATTCAAAGTTTCTAACCATCGGTTGCTATTATCTCGCGGTTCCCAACCAGATTGTCTACATCGACCAATATGGCTCAGTCCACTTATCAGTGACTTCATGGATCTATCTATGTTGACAGATAGAAGTAGTATGTAGCACTAATCGAAAGTGGAATACATACCAACTGAAGATTGGGGAGATTTAATAAAAGAATTATGAAGCATGTAAAGGACAACTAATGGAAGATGTACAAATGATGCATTGAATGTATGCTTTTCATATTTTGTATAAGTACTCTGTAAATTTGTATTAAATTAGACTGATTTTCCTCACCCGAGTTCTCATTTACTACAGTACCACTTATGAATTAACATTTCTCATATTCATACTATTTGTAATATATGTTATAGGAGGTGGAATCATTCAATGCTGTAAGTTCATTACACTATATAATTACTCTTCATTATATTTTACTAACATGTAATTATAAAACCATTATGAAATTTATCCTTATTTGAGATCATGAATGGATCAGTATTAGATCACCATTGAAAACCGTTTCTTCCTAGTATGGAACTCAGTATCAGTGCTCATCTACGATCCTGAACATGGGATTCGAATCCAAAACCTTCAACCTCTCTCAAGAATACCGTTCAATGCTTATAGGTTTCACGAACTGATATCAGCTATAATGTCAAAATGATATCTAACCAAATGAATGAATGAATTTCGCGCCAAAATCCAAGATCGCTTATTTTAAATCTGATTAGTTTGTTCATAAACTATAATCTCACTGAATTAGAAATGATTATCGTCGGATTTAGGCTGAGTGGTTTAGTGGTCAGGCGCTCGCGCAAGAGACTGATAAGTCCTGGGTTCAAATCTCGCGAGGCGGGGTCGTGGGTGCGCATTGCTGAGGAATCTTACAATAAGACGAAACGGCCGTTCAGTATTCCCAGGTTTTCTATGATGGTCTAGCTTCAATTGACTCATGATCTCAACTACTGAAATTACTATAATATCCATAAAAAGACCCCTTTCAATTTTATTTAATTACTCAAATGACATGAAAATTACACATGAAGCTTATTCATTATTGATGAAGATTCTCTTCAAAGCATAATTACATAAGAATTAGTTCATTGTCTCCCTATATTTGATATTAAAGATTAAACTGAACCATATCACTAACAGTAATAAACGTTTCCTCTATATTCTACATTACAGATTATGTAAATAAAGGTAAATTGGGCGATATATTCAACAGAATTATTATGATTATTATTCCTAATTGTTAGGTTCTAGACATTCTTCCATTACTGATACATATAACTTCAGTTGATCCATCTCTGTCAATATATGTGATCTCTGAATAGAGGCGATGATGTTGGTTATAGTGAGAGATAGTGACTGACAAGTAGTATAGAAGAACTGTTTTATCCACTAGGTCCTAACTCATTAGTTTAAAGGGAAAATTATTCACTAATAGACTTGTGGATCTTAGGTTTGATCCTCGTTAAGATTTTGAATGTGAAAAATAGGAAATCAAATAGCCATTTAATGTTATTTTCAGCAAGTAACTGCTTCTACAACAAACATGGTTGAACACGATTGTCCACGGCTTCTCATTAGAACCCCAGGAAATACCTCATAATTTCAACTATTAGAAAAAATTCTAAAATTTCCACAAAAACCCATTCAGATGTGCTCATTAGTGATTGACTTCAAGTGGTATCTCCTGAAGTTCTAGTGAGAAACCGTAGACAGTGGAGTTTAGCTGTGTTTATTTAATATTAATTGGTTATCAATGGTTGTGTTGTAGTGAACAAGAATACAAGTGGGGACAATCGAATGTATTTGAACACAACATTACATAATCTCTTAGTAAAATCTAAGAACTATACAGTAAATATTTCATTTGCAATATATCAATCAATTGTCTCAAACTTGACTGTTCCTTTGTTTCCACATCAAACATTCTTTGCAGATACATTCAACTGACGAGTCCTAAATAGGACGAAATGCGCGTCAAACTGGATTCCACTGCTAGCCATTATCTATCTTTGCTTATAAAGCTTGTGACTTAAGGCTATATCGAGGCCATCCGTACAGGATACACATATGCCTCCAGGCATTTCACTTTCAATTAATGATACATACTACTTATATCTGTCGACATCAGTAGCGCACAACACAGTCTAACAGAATCCAATCCATAATATATGCAATACATCTTGGTAAATAGTCGTATAAATTTCTAATTCACTTAAACAATACAAATTTCTTATGGTATTTAAACACGTGAATTCGTAATCAATTCCAATTCCTTATCAACCTACATATGAATTGACTCTACATGTTATCATAAACATAATGGATAATAGGTTTGCCAAAATAGATTCCACTTAGTTACTATGCAATTTAATTGTGTTTACATGTGAATTACTTTTTAACACTTACATAACATTCTCAAAAGATCAATATCAGCGTTATTGATAAGATTTATCTATTTTGACAGGGTAGAGACCATTAAGAAGTTATGAAATCCAGTTGTATATGTATATATATAGTCCTAACGATGATTGATGTGATTAATCGACAATAATCCTTTTAATCTATATATCCATACAGAGCCTAGATTAATGTCTTGATATAGATATATCTGTATGGGGTTGTGGATTATATTAGTATTTTGATTAAGATGATGAATCAACTGATGTTAAATCACCGTTGAAAAACTGGAAGCACTGAACAGCCATTTCGTCCTAATATGAGAATTCTCATCAGTGCAAATTCACGATTCCGCAAGGAAGGATTCTAACTTAGGACCTTCGATAACATGCACGAATATTTAACCTCTAGATAACTGAACCAACCGTCATTCAATGGTGTAAATGTTTAACTTCAATCAATTTACGAAATCACATGACCATCTTCCATTGTCTGAGGTAAATACCTATTTCTACCTGGGACAGATTAGCTTCCAGGTTTTCAATAGTGGTCTAACAATGATTGACTCATGATCTTGATCATATGTTAAATTTTGAAATCGCAGAGAAGAACATGGCTATAACATAATATTAGTAGTACTATGTAATGATCGGGGAACGTGATTAAAACTTGTTCATTAGCATAGAACTAAAATGACATTATTTTTCTAGTTAGCGTTTCTTTCGCAAGTCAGTTTTCTACGGGATGGGGTCACTAACGTCATACCCAACACTCACCCTTTACCCGGGCTCGGGACCGGCGGTAGACCCTGAGGAGCTCCGGGTGGAGTTAAAGGTTGTGATGGAGGTGAGATTCGAATCCACACCCATTCAGAGTCTATTAACTTGATAACTTTTGTCTTTAATGAATGTAATCAACATTCATTATTCATATGTGTAGTCATTTATTTTGTTTATATTATTTTAAATATATTTTAGGTACTAGCATTCAACGTTTCAATGGAAAAGGATTATTATGGTCACTTTTAACACTGAATTTTATATATTTAGTGATCTCAAGATATTGGTGAATAAAATATGTGAAGATAAATTTTTTTAAGAATATATAGCAGTGTGGGGCTGTGGTCTAGAGGTGAAGCGTTTGCGTACGGGACCGAAAGGTCCTGGGTTCGAATCCCACGAGTGGGATCGTGGATTTGCACTGCTGAGGAGTCCCACAATGGGATAAAACAGTCGTTCAGTGTTTTCAAGTATTCAGTGGTGCTCTTACATTAATCAGTTCATGATTTCAATCAAAACATTTAGTCATCAGTATAAATAATTCAATGTGGAATAGTTAAATAGTGATATCTCTGATTGCGGAGCTATATGATACAGATTCGGACCCAATAACAAGTATTAGTTCACTGAAGAATGAGAGATAGTTTATTCTGCCAAAAGCTATGAACCATAAAATCTAGATTAAGCATGATTTCTTTACGGTTGTTTTTAACGATGAGACTATATTTGAGTGACGCTAGACTGACCTTGAGAGTGTCCACCAAATAACCAGAACCAAATGAGGGTTATAAATGTATTTGAGGAATTAGAATTATGATTTACTGTTGATGATTAGAGTTATCATCACAAATTGACAACAGCTAAAATCCCAAAACTCTATTTAGCCAAATGAATGAATGGATTTCGCGCCGAAATCCAAGACTTATTATCTTAAATCTGATTGGTTTATTCATCTCGCTGCTATTAACCACTAACTTACATTTGAAATGTATTAACTTGGAAGAATTAATATCTCTATTCAGATAATCATATGTTCGACTTAATGTACCCCATGACATAAAGTTGTTATAGAAGAATTACCACAAAACAGTAAGCTCACTAATGACTTACTTCATGATATTCTTATACTTCTAATGAAAGTTGATGACCAGTACAGTTCAGACATGTCAAGAATAAAACAATCCTCATCAGTGATATTAAATGATTAGAGTTGGGATTGTACAATCGAACTCTGACCTGCAGTTCTAATGATTAAATATTCACTTACACTGTAACCTACTAATCTCAATTACCATTCTTGTATTTCATACTATACCATTTCATACCAAGAGATTATGAAACAAAGCCAAAACAACTAGTATTACATAATAGATACGTGTTCATCAATCCTCATTTAATGTTTCTTATTAGTTAATTGAGAACGTTTATGAAGTGAAACAACGTTAGGAATAATGTTCGAACAAAGTGTCGTTAACGTAATGTAAGAGAGTTTATGATGAGGTGATTTTCCAACATTGATCTGTAGTGTCGTAATTCGGTCTTCACATGATCGATGGTTAAAGAATCTGGCCTTTTCAACTCGAAGTTGGGCGTCTACTGAATCTTTCATCTTAGTCAGCAACACACTTTCGAAAACATTTCCTGGTAGTGATAGCAGTGTGATGCCTTGTAGTACTCACACTTGCTTAGATCTGCTTTTTTCCTTATCTTGATGAAGTATCCCTCTTCTTCCAGTTTGCTTGCAATTGTATTTTATTCCAAATCTTGCTGAATAGAGTGTGAAGCATCTTCTTAGTTACTTCTATATCTGACTTCAGTGTTCTAGCTGGTCTGTTGTATATATATGATTGTCACTTGGAAAATCAAGTCCCATGTTCAACCAATTGGGTATGGCTCATTCTACAGCAAAGGAATGTAAATCTCAGTCAATAGTGCACAATTATCATTTGGTAGATGCCTGACTGACCCTCAAAATCAATCTTATAACACCTGATTGACCAACGATGAAATAAACAAAACAAAACAAAACAAAACAAAATTTCTTCCCGTTAAATCGTGATGTTCACTTTGTTCAACTAAATTCAGTTGTAGTAAATAGTGATAAAAATGTGTGTTGAGATGGTGGAGAAGATTTGTAGCTCAGGTGGATGATTTTGGTGGAGTTTTGTTCTCTGGTTTGTGCTGATGATGTCATTCAGAAGAACGATGAAAGCTCCACGACCAAACCATCCAGCTCAGAAAACAAAACTCTTCCAAAAGCAATGTGTAGTATAATCACGATATTACCTGTCGAATAGATTCTCTAGTATCCCTTAAGGCATACATTACATCAAATTTGTTAACTATAAAAACACTACACTAATCTGTTATATCCCGATTAAAGTAATGAATGATAACTGTTGGAATCTATTTCTGGACTATTACTATATGTACACTTTTATTGTATCGTTGTTAAGTAACTAAACTATTCATATCCGTGTCCCTCTTATCGTAAGCTTTATTTTGACCTATGAACTATTATTATATGATTTGCCATTCTTGAATTATGTCCAGTCTATCAATTACTATCTCCCACATTCACAGTCACTTTTGGCTAAATCTTATACAAATATACGATGTGGTCTGTTTGGTTGCTATATAAACCCCAGTATATTTGGCATACATGATTCCTATCGCAGAGGCTGAGATTAGTGTTCTGGACTTAACAGGCAGGCAGAGCTAGGCTAGAAGAAGGACCGATAAGTACTCTAGACTGCTCGTACGAGTTTATGCGTCATTGTTCCGGTCGATAAATCAATGTCCTCTAATTGGTGGTATCATTACCTTATACATTAATAGGACATAGGGCACAAGTTATAACATAATCAAAATTACGTATACTAAACGACTGGCTAAACATAAAATGTAAATTATTGCTAGGATGATGGCTAAGTGTACAACACATCCTTGTTAACAGCCACATATATAAAATATATACTTAGTCATAGAGTAGTTCCATTCTATCTACCCACACAAAATATGAGATTATTTCTTCCAGGACGTTTGTCTGCCAAATATTATCCATAGTATATCTGAAGGGAAATAAAAGGAGTTAAACACCAAATCAAACTGTATTGCTTATTTAATACAATAAACGAAGATGTTTAGATGATCTCAATTTGATTAAAGTGTTTTGTAGATATGACCCATAGATAAAGTAATCATCAATGTGTTGAAGACAATTTGCAATGATAGGTAACTGTAAAGTACAGTCTATCATAACATAAAACGTACACAAATTATTATACTGAGAAATATATGACAGTACTTGGGCATTTGATGAAACGTAAAAACAAATAACCTAAATAGAATATTTTAGTGGACAGGACTTTGAGAATGGATGAGTTACGGATAAACTTCAGATTTAGATCAAATCAATTTTATTGACTCGTCTGGAGCAAATTTCATTGACTAAATTTATCGAACATGTTTCCAAACAATTCTCTGATACTGGGTTCGATTCCTCGAGGGAACATCAACTCTAAGACGAGTCTTAAATAGGACGAAACGCGCGTCAAACTGAATTCCACTGCTAGTCACTATTCATCTTTGCTTAAAAAACTTGTAACTTAAGGCAATATCAAGGCAGTCCGTGTAGGATGCACATATGCCAGCAAATGAGAGACTGATCAATTGTAGTTCTAAATAATAGTGAGAAGATACAAGCAAACAATACCAAGTGAGTGCCCATTAAAGAAAAAATTCAAATCAATTAATGACTTAATTCCGATCCCATTTCAAAGCTTGAACCATCATTTACATTCATTTGTACGATCAAATAAATTAGTTCACATCAAGCACTTATTAGTAACATATGCATTGCAGAGACTTGTACAGTTCAATGAAACAAAACTGAATTCTGGGTAAAAATAGCAGCTAACCAGTTTCTCATCTTACAATCATCCTAATCTCTTTCTAATTTTTCATACTTCATAATCAGTTGTTGCTACCACCTACAAGTCTTTCTTTCTCTTCTTCATAACCAACATGTGGACAAATGCTCTGGTACGGCCAAGGTTGAGGAGAGTTAGCTATCATATGGCCACAAGTATACAGCCACTGTCAGAGAAATCCCAATAACTACCTTCTCACGGATGCGGTGTTTTTTATGAAATTGAGAGAATGAAAAGCGAGTGTCTGGGTTGGTGAAAACGGAGAGTTCACTTAGGGGAGTTGGAAAACCCTCATTTTTTAAACCAATGGTGTACATGGGCTCCAGTATCCTGATGGAACAAACGGAGTATGAATAGATTGTTGGTCACGGGCTACCATGTGATTGCATCTGTTTACGTTGCTCCATTGCCTTGTGGATGAGACCTTTAGATGAAAGGCTCGAGGTGTGGCCCCCTTCAAAAATCATCAGCTTTGGTTTGGACACCTTGGCAGTATCATAACCCACACACAAATCAAGTGACTTATGTGGCGCATATGTATTCGGTGTCCCTTTGCACCAATATTCATGTGTTCAAATAAATGAATAAATATTTCTCACTAACAAATCAGTCTCCCATCATTATTCTTAATCAATCTCTAAACGATTAAGCAGCTCTCCATGAATGGTTGAAACTTCTGAATACTTTCTGATCCTATTCTACTTTTTAAGAGTTTCTCTACGTATCAAATAACTATGAATATAATTATATGAGTCCAGTAGTTGATAGTTACTCCAAATATACGTTTTTCCACTAAACATTCATTGTATTTCCATAAGCTAAGATAAACCGAATATGACTAGTTTAACAAGTAATCACCATTTGAACTCATCATGAAATCAAGAATTTGAACTATCCAAAAATCTTAATTGTTATCGTAGGAGCATATTGTGAAGATAAGAATAAAGAAGCTATGTCATATAACGAAAACTACCTTTTTGGACATTGTTTAAATTAATCTGAATTCTCAGAAAGGAGGTTTGTGGAGAATGTAGTGATTTTAACAATTGAACTCATGAGTCTATTCAAGCTAGACCTCGATTGGGAACTTGGAATCACCAAACTGCCATTTTGCGCAAGCGTGAGACTCCTAGGCAGTGCGCACCCATAACCCCTCTTTCGGGATTCAAATTCAGGAGCTCCGGTATTGAGTGTGGATTTTAATATCTTAATTCAATAGATCCATGATCTTGTGCAACCATTTATCCATTATCTAAGGTAGAAATCTGTCTTTATCCGACACGTGCTGGACTCTACTGGTCACAACTTCTTCCTTGAACTCCAGGAAATCTATCTTGTAGGCAGTCACTAGTGAGCAC